GCATGTTTTTTGCAAAGGCCGGGTTCAGAGCTAGTCAGCTTGCTACAACCTTGGAGAAGACGCTTGAACTTGCTCTCCTGCTTCTTCGGCTCTGTTCGCTGACAGCTCTAAAAGCAATTCATCGATTTTCATTCGAATAAAAGCATCTCACCTCTAGGTGTAAAAAAAAAATCAGATAGCATGATATAAAAAAAAAATGGCTAGCAAGATGTAAATAAAAAATTATCAGCCAAAATAATCTAGCTTTACTAATCTCCAAAGAGGTCAATACCCATATTCTCACTATCCGAATCAATCAGAGCTTTAGGAATATTACCAGAGGTAATGATTCTGGATTGAAAGATCGTAACCTCATTACCGGGCTTGAAAATCGGAGCTTCATCTCCAGTATCTTCTGATTCTTTGCTTATGATTGGAGCAATAGTGCTAGTCACCTGTAGTGCTTCGATCTGTAGACCCTGCTCTCCTGCTTCTTCAGTTTTGTTCGCTGACAGCTCTAGAAGTAATTCATCAATTTTCATCCGGATTAAATCATCGGCATTAGCTTTATTCCGAAGCCTATTAAAATATTGGGTCACATAATAGGTACCAGAATGCTTTCTACAAAGGCCGGGTTCAGAGCTAGTCGGCTTACTGCAAACCTTACAAGGAATGCGAGGTTTAGCTTTCCAATGTTCAAAGCAACCTTCTGGCCGACGGCAGGTTCGCCCACAAACCCATCCAGTTCTAAGTAAATAGTTGCAAAAATATTCGCCTCGCATAGTAATAAGAAATAAATATTTTATTTTAAACTAAAGTTTTCGCTATATTAATACAAATAATATTCAATACTTATACAAAATGGTTAACTACAAAAATATCGAAACAGCTTTAGTTGAAGTGATTAAAGTAGCATATAGTCAAGGTACCAAAAAATATGATAAATTAGGAGCATCATATGTAAACTATCTTAAAACTTTATAGCGAAAAAGAGATCCAGAAGATCATATTAGATATGTAGCAAAGCAACGCACTCCAAATGAGAAAACCTATAATGAAAGAATGGCAGATTTTAAAGATTGGTACAATGAAGAGATATATACTAGTTT